CAATTAAAGTACATCTAATTTGAATATAATTTATCATAGAAAATTCATTGTTTGAACAAATGATTTTACTACTCTCGAATAAAATGGATCGCACCGGAAATAACTGTATATTTGTTCTTCCAAGCATTTGATCTATTGCAAACAATTTCTCAAATGCATCAGAGTTTTCCCTCCTTTTGTTTCTGGACTAAATTAATGCCCACTCTTCTATTTTGTTGCTGTTATTTCATTTTTGCCGAATTATTTCATCCGGTACTATCTGCTGTTTCGGGAAAAAGTGCACTACAAACCTAAAATGACTTACTACTAGATTACTTTTATTTTTAAGTCTTATCATGCCAGCATAACTCTCAAGTTTTTATTTCTCTGCAGACATTGTTTATCAACTAATCTCAGTTGCAATAATTAGCAGCACTAAATATCACTCCAGTATATATATATATATATGTTGAGTACTAGTGGTGACGAAATTAACAGCACATGTAGATTATCTGTCTGTTCAAGGTTCAATTTTATATATTAAATAAGAATCTAAAATGAACTTGGAACTTGTTTTGCGGAATGTTGAGATATTGCTTATAAGCATATCGTCCAGATAAATTGTCTTGAAGAAATTATTCTTGATACTATGTTCATCACACTTCATTATGAAGGAAACTTTCCCGATTTAGCAATTAAAGTATATCTAATTAGAGTATAATTCATTATTAAAAATTCAATGTAAAAAGCTGCAAGGTCCCAGCTCTTTAATTTTTAGAAAATTTAAAAGAGTCGAGTCAACGTTATGGTAGTGTATTATTGAAAATATCCCAAATATAAAGGTGTAAAAGAATGAGTATGTACGAATATGAAAATATACAAAATGTGTACATGTATTAGTTAGTGCCTGTCGAGAAGACAAAGATTTGTGTTGGTCGTGTTTGGAAAGTGATCAATCAGTCACAGGAGTGTCAAATAAGAGCAAGAAGAACAAGGAGCAAAATTCTGTAACGGAACAGAAATGAATGAATTATTTGATATTTGGGAATTGAATTGAAGTGAGAGCACAGAAATGGAAACAAAGAAAGATGAATGAATTTGTTGGTTTGCAGCGGTTGTTGATACATCGATCATTTTCAGGAGCATTGAACTCTTTCTTCGTCTTCTCGTCATCAGTAAATGTGATAGATATGTATGTGCTTGTTGCTGGGCTAAAGCGATCCATTTAACTCAACACACTGCCGATGGCTAAAGTTTTGCTGAAGGCTTTAAGCAACGAGTGAATAGCGGTAGAAGAGCTATTATAAGGGCGAAGAAAATAGTTAAATTGATGAGGTTCCTCTTGAAATGTGATAAATGAGACAGTTTCTGAAAGAATTCCTTCGCAGTGTGTTCCTTTAACTCTCTCCTACACCATTCCTAGCCTTTCACTCTCTGCTGAAAACTCAATGAAATCGCTTCTGAAGACACGAGGGACCGATGGACGTACAATTGGGATCACCTCAGGAATGATTGATAATGAGTGCCTCAGTACTACCACCTCAAAACCTACCATCAATCAATCATTTTCCTCTTCAAAATGCTTCACTTTGCCTGCCATTCCTATCTTCTCTACTTTAACCCATTTATCACTCATTTCTAATCACACATTATTTCTACTTGTCCAGAACCTCTAACAACGGTTTGTGCTGTATTGTTCAAATTTTCATCTATGTTAACGAACAGGAAATGCAACATTATAGTACTTTAGTATGGAAACATAAATTACGATAATGCATGCTTTTGCAACAAGATACAACGACATCATGTAAGGAGTGTTCTAACAATCTCTAAAAGGTTAAGCAGAATAAACTAATGAGATGAGAAAGATGCACGAAATCGTGACAACTCAAGAGTGCTCTGTTGATTACCGAGCATCTCATGAAATATCATGTCAAGTATGAGCTGCTTCATATAATGACAGTACTGATAATATATTTATTGTTAATTGATTAGTGATGATAGTTATGGTAACTTTTGATTAGTTTATAATTAGTTGCCGCAGTAACAATAGTAATGTTAGCGCCTCACATATGTTAACTCGTTTCTAAAAGTGGTGCTAAAAGAAAGTGAAACTTTTCTCTGTTGAAACAATCTAGTCTTTCCTAATGTAAAAATTCTGCATCTTGAGAATATAACAAAATTGCGTTTAACTCGTAAAACATCCATTATGAATTGGTTTAGCATAAACAGTGGTGCGTCAGACCAAAGCTGACCGTAGCTCCACAAAATCTTCGCACTACCAATTTATTCGTTTCTCATTTTTAGAGAATAAATTACAAGGTAAATGATGCTGGCAATTACATATTACAGATAGTTTTCCCATACGAATTATATCCATTCTCTCAAAACAGCTACCCATAGAGAGCTCAGGTACGCAGTTTTTGCAAAACCGCAAAAACTCTTAAAACGCCCGATGTTTCCTAAATCCCTTGTTTCATTATCTTATCCTTCAGCAAGAAACCAGTACACACACGCAACTATTTTTCGGAAAAGCCTATGACAATGAAACCCATTCTACTTCACAGCTTTTGCATCTTTCCTTCCCCTTCTCCATTCTTATCATAGCTTTCTCAAAGTGAGTCCCAAGCGTGTAACATGAGTAGTACTAGCGCAGAACAAAATCTTCCACAGCAGCAAGTGGTGGTCAAGTCCCTGGTATCTTTCTAGCCATTGACGGCATTCGCCTGGAAATCGTGGACCGAACTTTTATGTCGAGAATGACTATCTTAAGCTATTTGTTTCGATCTTTCTTCAACAGTTTGCACCAAAAAACTATGCAGCTATCCATACCAAGTAACTAACACAAAATTATTCATGAATAATACACCAGTCAAGAAGTTGCCAGCATGATGAATCCACATTTACATGCACTCTGCTCAGTGACAAAGCTCTTGCTCTTTATTATCTCTAATTTCAATATCTTAATAATCAGTTCCTCATATTATTCAACTCGGAATGTTGCTACAATGATAACAATAAACTTGGCGCAATTGCAATGTAGATTACTTTACTACGAAAATTGATTTACTAGATCTATCCGAAAAATGCATCTGATTTTTGAGACAATTTCTTCAGTTCCGCAATAGCTGTACACAAAATCAAAAATTGTTTGAAACAGATGACGAGTCCCACCCATATCACCCAGAAAATTCCAGTAACCTGATTCTAGAACTCATTTTAGAAGTCACTGGACTAATATCTCGAATGGCTGTTAAAAAAATTAAAAAATTTGCGCTGATCGACATGATCTCTCAGTATAGAGCTATTTCAAACAGTAAGTAGGTGGTCTTGGACCAATAATAGGGAAGGATCATCAGAAAACGGCTAACGGAACCGACGAGCACCAAATGATCTCAAGTCACATCTAACCAGAATCTTTGCCCTGGTAGTGCGACAATCCAAGGAATCTTCACAAGGGAGGTAATTGTCATACGAAATATTTCCCGCATTAATGAGTACAAAATAGAGACTTAACGTGCATTGATCTATTCATCTCGGTGCAAGACTGTAGTAAGCGGGCTGACTCATCTCCTTGGATTAACTTCAGCATCATGAATTGCAGGAGAGGGGAGACGAGCAGTAAAGTTAAATCGTCCCTGCACCTAACCATTACGTTTTTAAATATTAAATCATTCCTTCGATTTCGACAAATGCAAGATAGTTTATGGCATCGGTGCGTGAATAAAAAACCGATACTTTGTGCTTTGCCGAAATGTTCCAGTACATCACTCTAGCCGTCAATCGATCATCTTTACAATATACTATTTCTAGTACATATGATTAACTACCCATTTCATGTAAATACTAAAATGTAGGCTTTGAATAGGATCTATAACTTTGCTATCCCCATCCTTTTGTCTCTACTCTTCCATCAACACAGACAAAATACATCCTCTAACCGATCTTAATCAAGCATTTGTGCTCATACTCATGGATTAATGTCTTAGCTAGAAAATGAACAATATAGTATGCCTAACTCATGCGGTAAAAGGATTGAACATTTATACCTTCTAGCAACAATTAATAATAATCCACCTAGTCATGCTAATCTTACATCTTGAAAATGAAGTAAACTTTATCATGAGCATAGATAAACTTTTATAATACATACAAAAAACTGATTACGTCTTATGCCTACCAGAAAAGGTAAGAAAGAATAATGAAGAAAAGTCATTCAAGAAAATTTATTAACAAATCATGAGACGAAATAATGATACGGTATAAAGAGAGAAAAATTAAGCTTACACTAGGAATGGCAAGATCTTTCATAAATTAACGGAACCAACGACTCATGCTTATTTCAATTATATTTGATGTAACTACAAAAAACTTATGTAAGGCTATTTTTAGATAGATTTCTTCGGTGACAGAGGTACATTCTTATAAGAATCAGAAACAATTTTTTGGTTCGGGATACAAATGTAGCTGAAACAAGTTCCCGCTATCTTAGATTAAATACATAGATTTCAGATTAGATTAAGAGAGTCTCAAACATGAAATGCAGGCTTGCAAAATGAACCATTTCAAATACACTGATGAAAATGCAACCGAAGAAGTAACACCGTTCAGAATAAGTTAATTGACAGAGATTGATATACCCGGAAAAATTAATTCTTGAAAAAAATTCGTATACTAATCTGACCACCCCCGACGTATCGCTAGACAATTACAGATAGAAATGACAAAAGCTTTGATCGACTACGCAAATTATTAGATTACTCGAGATTTTTTACAAAATAAAGTTAGCTATAAATATACTTAAGGGTTTTTAAAAACGTCTTTTCCGTTCTTCCCGTGCAAGACGCAGCTCACTTAATGCTAGAATACATGTTAGGCATCTGAATTATAAGACCTACACCAATTAAACAAAAATGACAGAGTATTTCGTCAACTTATTCCTCACTGAAATTTCTTTCAGCGATATCTCCAATTCGAATGACAAATAATGAAGAAAGTGTTCTAAATATATAAAAAAATATCTACGGATGAGGCATTGTGGCCATCAAACGCTGGGTATACATGGCCTGTAAAGCAGCTGCTGAAGGAAAACCAGTCATTGTTTGAAATGAAGGCATTCCGAGTGGACTTGGTACAGCAGGTATCAATCCACTTGGTTTCATATAAGGGTGATAACGAAGTGAAGCGGCTGCTGCATGATTAATGAGTGAAGTAGTAGTAGTAGATGTACGTGGTGAGCTGCTTGCTTTCAGATCAATATTGTTATTGGAAGTCGTTGATGGGACATGAGCCAGCTAAAAACTTACAACATTCTATCATTGATAATTAAGTATGAAAATTTCATTAGTTATCTCCTTCAAAAAATACCATTATGATTGGACAAAAACATTTATTCATGCAATACCTTCATGTGTGCGGCAAGTTCATCAGCAGTTGGAAATGACTTCCCACAAACACCATTTGCTGAATCAATCCAGTTGCATACATGTTTAGTTGACTGTCCTGATGCTGCAGCCATCAAATTTTGATAAGCAAATTGAGCTGCTGAACTGAAAAACAATTGCTGCTGTTACAAAAGTTCGAATCCTAAGCACAACTGTCTAATTTGATACTTGAACTTCAACTTCACAATCTAATTTAAACTAACAGATAAGATGGAAAAATAAATACCTTGATGTTGGTGGAATTGAGCTCGAGAGAAGTGGACTATATGCAGCAGCAAAAAAAGATGGTGGAAAAGCCATCATCAAATCAGCAGGTGTATTAGCAGCAGTAGCGCTGTGCATAGTGCAACTTGTGCAACCTGGCGTTACACATGGCCTTGTCATCAAAGTAGCTGGACATCCTGTGAAATATCAAAGAAAACTGCTTAACAATGTACAAGCCATAGTTTAAAGATTTGATTAAGTTTATCTGCTTGACAGTTTCAGTCAACATGTTTCACATATTGGTTACAATTACTAAACTCTGTGACATCCTGCCCATTAAATAAGTACAGTTTAAAAGATATAATATCGCAAGAAATACCTTTGCATGTAAGTGGATCTGGACATCTCAAAAATGGATTTGGTGTTCCACCGCCAAAAGCTCCAGCAGTTGCAAAATTAGGTACAGCGGGGAAACCAGGAATTAGCGACGGATAAGGAAATGTGGGAAAAGTTGTTGCTAAAGGTGAAAAACTCATAGGGAAACAACCCCGAGCATTTAACATTAAGTTTGCAGGTAAAGAAGCGGCAGCACTACTGGTTGATGGTTCAGAACTTATTGGAGTCTTTCTGCCACTTGGTGGACTATGCGCTGCATGTCGAGGACTTTTCGATCCTTCCTTCTTGTTTTTCGATGACGGACTATGTTCGTCTTTCTTATGTTCACCAGATGCATTACTACTACTTGGACTAGTTAGTTCCTTAGATTTATCACTATCTTTGGTGGATTTTCGATGCGATGTGTCAGGGAGACCAATCGTTTCGCATGTTTTAGCAAGCATTGCAAGAGGTGATTTTCCAGAGTCCATCTGTAAAACATTAATCTTCACATAAGAGTGCAGGGCTTGACAAACTTCCGAAAAAAAAATACTGAAAAAAAACCCAACATCCAAAACTGACATTCCATAAATGTTTCCGAAAGATTTTAGCGAATAAAACTTCAAAGCAAAATAATTTGTATTAACTACATTACACTGATGTTTCTAACTTTTTTCTTATTACAGCACAACAACGTATGTATTATCCTATTTGGTAAAAAATAAGTTCTAACAGCAATCACTACAGAGTTTTAATCCCAACATCACTTGACACTGGAAAACTACGTTAACAGATGATGGATGAAACGATACCGCCGAATGATCCATAAAATGAGCTTTTTAAAACTCGAAACCATGACTGCAAGCAAACCTTGGATGACTTCCACCTCAATGAAATTCAGTATTAAAAGAATATATCATTAAAAATGGAAGCTTTAGCTAGCAATTATCATGGTTTCGTAGTCTGATCAAAATTTATCTGTAATATAGATGGGCTAAAATGAACAAAAGAAAAATTTCATTCTTTCTCGAGAAGTACTGCTATCTTCATATCTTATTATCATCTCGTTCTCGAGATCAAGAGTAAACAATAGGAAAGAGCAGCTGTGGGATACTGTTGATAATAAATTGAGACGTTTTTTATAAAAGCATTTGATGGAAAATGAAACCCAGACTGAGTAAATTTTACAAATTATGCAAACATACTCATTTAAGGACCACAACTCACACACGTATGTGTGAAAATAGTTTATAGAAAAAGGGGGTCAGTTTTCAATCGTAAATTATTTCTCTGGGAACAAGAATTTATGAGTGATGAGTGATTGATTGATGATTTAAATGGCGAAACTAAGTTGACGGGTTTACCAAAATTTAAAATGATAGCAGGAAAGGGTTGATTCAAAGGCAATGTGAGCATGAAGAGGCAGGTACATGCAGTGACGACTGGTGCGAGTGACGCAGGGATGGGTCGGAAAAATGAAAAGGAAGTTTTAGATGATATCATGGGTGAAATGTGTCAAATTAATTTTCGACTTACTCAAACCAGCAATAAAGAATTGTAAACGGAAAAAAAGGAAACGTAAAAAAGATTTGTTAGCTGTAATCCCATATAAAGCAAAAACGCCATTTCCAGTACGACTTAATCTAAAATTTATACTCCTAAAACAGCAGAACGGATAGTTATACTGAAATAATTTTCATTCTTCCTAAGCGAGTATCGGGATATATATAATTGCGAAGAGAGTGAGTGAATTGTACTAGCAGTTGGTTGCCTTCCTTCACCGGTTCATGCCAGTCATTTAAAAATTAATGCATTTTACATTGAAAAAAAAGTATAAAACTCACAAATAGTTTAGGTGCTAGTGCCAGTGACTGATAACTAACAAGAACCGCCGCCAACAAGGCTAACTTAATTCAAAAATGATTTGTTTTTCGTCAAACATTCATTCCAATTCCTGCTGCTGCCATTCATTCATTTACACGGCAACAAAAATGGGCCAAACGTCACTCTGACTCAATATAAATTCATTCTTTATTGTTCTAACAATTTTCATAACATATATGTCCTCAATCAGTGTCTCTAATAAAACTAATCATTACAATACCCTGATTATCTAACGTTAATTCTCCAAACTTCACAGCCTACACTACCTAAAACCTTGTCTCCGAGCGCTTCAAAACTGGAAAATTTCCTAGTACTCAACTTTGTTTATAACAATTTAAGTATTTAATGAACCTTCTATGAAGATATAATTTCTGCTACTTGACTATAAACAACATACAAAATGAGAGTGCATTTTTTTATCGTATGAAAAAATGTTCATTACACAATGAAATGATAATGGAATGCATTTTCCAAAAACGTTACTCTAGTGAAATTTCTTCCGTGAACACCTGATATTCGTGTTACTCTACATACAGAAACAAAAAGTACTTAGAATACTTGCCAATCCCGACATCCATGCAATAGGGAGTGGGACGATCTCACGCAATGGATGAGACGTATGCTGTATTATAGAAAATTTTTTCATCTATACTGGAAGAGAGAACGAAACTTATGAGTGAGGAATTTAGAACGAAGAGATTAATTTAATCGTAGATGACAGCCACCTATCCATCCTTTTGTCTGACTGTCCATCAATCTATTAATCCACATTGGTGATGATAAAGAGGTAACTCCTCCTTATACTATAGTTCTTTTTATTAATGATCTACCAGTTTCAACAGCAATCGTTTGAATTACTTTTAACATTTGAATTACTGCCAGCACCAAAAGTTTATAGAATAGAGAAAGAAGTTCAGCAGTCCTTGAGTAACAATGACTGAAAGTTAATCTACTGATAAAGAGCATGTAAGATTGCTATCAATCACACATAAAAACTCACTCAACCAAAATTAAAGAAATACTAACCGTTTGAACTACAGGCGAATTATAGTCGGTAAGGTATTGTGAATGAGTAGAGACCATATTTCATGCAGCAAATGAGTACGTCTTTCGATTCAAAAATCAGTTGTGATGTGACGCTCTGCTGAACTCAGACAATCGTATAAACGTCGTTATTCACACAGGAAAATATTCGAAATCGTTCACAACTACCTTTAAAAACAAAAACTACATTTTCTACACATTACTGCCACGAACAATAGTATGTGGCATCGATGTATTACACACATATATGTTCCGTATCATATATATATATATATATATATATATATA